CGCTGAGTCTTGGATCCTGGGTCGTCTCTGGTCTGCAAACTGCAGGATGAAGCTGTCTGCTCCTTGTCGGTTCTTGCTGGTGTTGAGTAGAATCCACTCGCCCGCTGCATCTGGCTCCTTCGTCCCGGACTCTCTTTGTGAGTGCTCAGGTATGGCTTCAGTCTCCGCCGTTTGCGACCCTGCCGCTGCCCCCGCCGCGGCGGCTGCTGGCAATCGCTCAGATGTGTCTTTTTTGCCTTGGCTTCCCTCTCTTGTCTATCTCTCTGTCCTGTGATGGCACACTTGGTGTGATTCTCTGGCATAGGACTGTTCACTGGAACTCTAAAACTGCTTTCTATGCGAGAGCTTGTTCAGATTCCAGCTTCTCCTCTGCCATCTTGCTCCATCCCCCTCTGTATTCTGCAATTGTTATGTGGTATAGTCAACTAATGTTAAGCGAATGAAGTTGGTTGATTATGCTGTTCAAATCTGTAACCAACTCATTTTCTTCTACTGTCTTCTTCTATTGCAAAGTATTGAAATTTCTGGTGATAACTTTGTATTTTTTCTATTGCTTTTTGCCATTCTATTGAATTTGCTTTATATAACTTTAACTTCAATTTTTAGGGCATACAGCATTTAAATTTTTTAAGTCCTCTTAATTAATTAACCACATTATAGTTTTGAAATAATCTCCACCTTTGGTAATATTCTTTGTTCCCAAATCTATAGTCTGATAACAATACCAACATTACAGTTGAGTTTTTCTTAAAACTTATTAGATTGGGAAAACTAGCCATTCTTTTATTTGACTATGTTTGTCTTTAAGTTTAAATTATGTTTCTTGTATTTAGCAAAATATTGGCCTTCAATTTCTTCTTCAATTATGCCTCTCTCCCCTTACTGTGTGTGTGTGTGTGTATTGGAGCTTGAACTCAAGACTGGAGTGCTTCCATATTTTCAGGTTCCTGCCCATAGGCAATTTAAGAATTATGTTGTTTTTTTCAGAAAAATATTATTTTATCATCCTTCACAACTGTTTTCCCATTCAATTTATGAATCAGAGAAGAATCAACCAACCTTATTGTGTTCTAGGATTTAGATATTACTGGGGCAATTTATTTTCTACTACTACTCTTTATACTTAAGAAACAACTTCCAGAAAAATAAGAAACAACTTCCATTCTTTTTACTCTCAATTTTAAATATTTCATGACAGGTATACTTCTTCATACAACACAATATTCTATCAGCATTAGTTTTACCTGTTTTATCAATACTATAGAGGGATGATTTTACTCAAGCAGAATACATTTCTCTTATATTCTCATATTTATTCTTTATGTGAACAGTTAGTAGTTTCAACTTCAGATATTTTAAATTACAAAATGACTTACGCAGGTCCATAGTTACATACAAATAAGGCAATTGAAGCTCCCCCGAGGTTAGGACAAAGTGTAATTGCACAACCAATTCTATTTGAAGTGGCCCAAACAACCTATATGGAAAAGAAATATAAAGGAACATATTCAAAACAATCATATGCAAACAGTAAGTGATTAGAATAGGAATGATCTTTGTCATACAAAGTATTTAATGATTGTGAGTTTTCTAACATCTTATATATTGTATAGGATTATTTTGTTTAGGCAACTTTCTTAGAGGCTAGCTACCTAGTTTACCCCTCACAGATAATTCCCATAAGTAAAAGGAGAATATGTAACCCATATCATAATACCCAGATAAACTCATATTTTTCTAGATAATTGAGGACACATTTAAATTCTTTCTATGGTCATATCATAAACAATATCAGAATTAAACTGTGTAGACCAAGACATTATTAGACAACTAAAGCAAAAAAGTACTGGTGGCATGGCTCAAGTGGTCAAGTTCCTTATTAGCAAGTATGTGACCTTGAGTTGTAATCTCAGTATCACACAAAAAAATTTAAATTTGGCATAAACCAACTCACTACATGGAAGTATCATGAGGATACTTCTCAAATGAAGGTAAATTGTCTAGGAACTTGGAAGAAAATATTGGCAAGTTTTCTTGCAATTGAAATGTACACAGATAAATCACTATTTATACATATATGCACATATATACATATGCATATATATATATATATACACACACACATATGTATTTATGTGACAGATACACACACACACACACACACCACACCTGTGTATAATGGCCGCAAACTCGAGAACATGATAGCGTATCATAATCATAAGATAAGCTTTCATTGTGCCAAAAAGTAACAGCAGCTTTTGGTGAAAAGTCATTAATTCCACCTATCCACATATTTTCTCCAATGTATTCATACTCTTCAAAGCATTGATATGGTTTTGTAGTACATGGGTTATGTTCAAGTTTGCACTTGACGGACCATTCTTTAGCAATTCTTGCTAAGTCAGCATTCCAGCGCTGGAAAATAAGGACAATTTAAATTGAAATGTTTCTGCTTACATTAAAATTATTCTGATTATTGTCAATTACATGTAGCTTGAATTTATAATAATAAGACAAAACAAATTGTTTAAATGGGATACAGGTGGACCCATTGCAGCAATGAGATGTACAAGTTGTTATGTTGAAAAACAAACTTTACAACTTTGGGGGGGGATGGGAAGGGATGGGAAGGGGAAACAAAGGAGGAGGCAACAGTGCTTGATAAGAAATGTACTCATTATCTTGCCCATGTAATTGTAACCCCTCTATACAGTATTTTCACAATAAAAAAAGACAAAAAAGATTTTCTTCAGTAGCTGTTATTTTATGGATATTTATATATTTTCCTTTTTAGCTTTGCTCCCAAAACACTTATTTGATACTTGTAGTTCCTTGATACAATAAACACTCTCAATGTGATTTAAATAATTCTCTCCTCCTCTATTTACTCCCTTTCCCTCCCTCCTTCCCTCCCTCCCTCCTTCTCTCCCTCCTTCCTTCCTTCCTTCCTTCCTTCCTTCCTTCCTTCCTTCCTTCCTTCCTTCCTTCCTCCCTCCCTCCTTTCCTTTCTCCCTTCCTCCCACTGTATTTTCCTTCCTTCTACTCAGCAAAGTATGCATGTGAAAAATCAACTGTAGATTGAGAGAATCAGGGGCTCACAGTTGCTAGGCAAAACACTCTACCTCTTGAACCAGGTCTCTGGCCCTAGAAATGAGCAATATGTCAAAGTCTAGAATACAAAAGGTCATGCAGACTTACTATAAGTGAAGAACAAATACTCATTGACTATTCTTTTTGCTAACATCAATTCAACATATCAATGGGGTTTTTCTCCCTTGTCTGTATGTTAAATTCTTTCTCTCTTTCAGCTCATTTCTGGTCAACATGTATATCCTTCTTATCTGGTTACCATCCTCTCCTCTCTACAACCCTTGGTTTTGAGTTTTTCAAGGAAGGTTTGGTGACAGCCCTAAAGTATATAGGAATAGTCACCCTAGTGAAAATAGCATTGACCATGTTGGATTATCTGGTCTCCTCTGAAAGAAAAGAAAAGTAGACTAGCAGGAAAACGATAGCTGGGAGAGGGCAGAGATTCAGTTACTAAACGTGCTCCATTGCACCTGTCTTAGTGCTTACAGTCCTGTCTTATAGTTACTGATTGGATTATCTGTCTTTCCTATTCCTGGAACTGTAGATTTTTAGTGGTATATAGAAAAAAATCATGCTGATTTTATATACTTCTGCTTTCCTGAATTCATTTATCAGTTCCAACAGTCTGGGATTATGTTCTTTAGAATGTTTTCTCTATATAGAATCCTACCATAAACAAACAGAATGAATTGACTTTTCCTTTCCTATTTATTTGGGTTGTATTTCTTCTATCTCTTGACCAGTTGCTTTAAAAGTTGGAGTATTATATTGGATGAGATGTTGGCCTAAAGTAGGCTTGATTTACCTACTACTAGTGGCTCCTAAAGTGACAAATTTCTCAGTGATGACAACAGCCACAGAGAAGTGCTGAATTAGTATGAGTTACCTTTATGGGGAAGTGTTGCTCATTTAGATTTTTTTTTACCACCATAGTACTTCAATGATTTTAGAGAATATAGCTTTAAAAATTGTTTTCAGTGGGTTTTTGTCATAATTACAGTATGAATGGTACTTTTTGAACTTCTGTATCTTGTTTTTGAAATGTTAATTATCTATTAAACAATCCACTGACAAAACAAGTGACCTAATGAAGCTTATTGACATCTTCACATATGATCCATAGGAGCATGTCTTCCACATACAGACAGTGATATTACTGACTGGATGCATTTGCAATCTGGGCATATTAAGCTTATTTAAACAAATAAAATCCAGTTATCCTATATATGAAACTATCTTGATAATATGCATCCTGAAGTGGATTAAAACTTCCTCCAAAGGAGACATGCTAGTATGTATCTTAATTAGAATTCTTTGTCTTTTATTTGCAGCTATCACTCTTTGGGTCTTTTTTTTCCCGGGTACCTCAACAACGTGCCAGGTTTATTTGGGATGTTTTCTGCTTCACACCATACTCACATTCAGCCATCCAAATTTTTTTCCTCTAAGCAAATTTTCTATTAGTGTGAAAATATGGGAAGCCGCAAATAATCATTGTTATTGGTGCTCTTTGTTTCTGTATCATTTAACACAGACAAAGCTAAGGAATATGGAGAAAGAAATTGTGAGTTCATGTTAGCATTTCAACTGGTATTTGAAGGTCAGTGTTTTAATATATGTGACTATGTCCTAATATTTTACTTTCTCTTATACTGAAATTCTTGATTCTCTAAAATTATATATTTTTTGCTTTGTAATCTATATACAATGAGATTCTTTAAGACATGTGACAAATATAACTATTAGCATTAACATTTTTGGATTCAGTTTAAGATTTATTTCTAGTTAATTTTGTCCCTGGAATATATTATAGTAGAAATGTACAGTTAACATACTGTATTGTACAGCTTGTTGCATCATTTAAAAAAATAGATATCTGGCCCATTTGATACATTTTTAACTTTAAAAAATTTCCTTCTGAAGGGTATTTTCTCTTAGTTTAAGCTTTAAAATTCTGCAATAATTTTACATACTTACAAAGTTAAATTATAAAACAAAATAAAGCTAAAGAAGAATTTTTTCTCCATGAATCTTCAACCCTATGCCTTCTTTTCTTTCTCTTGCAGATAGCTGTGTAAAGTAAAATTGATTTTGCATTTATGTTTTTATTGTTTGCCTTGGAAAATATAGTATGTACATATACACACATTTAAATAACACTTTGTAGCATAAAATAGTCCTTTAAAAAAGAGGTCACTACTCTAATAAGCATGGAGGAAACAGTAACATCAAATACATACCCTAGACTATTGGAGGCTAATATAAATATTACATTTTAAGTTAAAGTCCTTTAATGATTCTGTATGAAAAACATGTTTGTTGTATTTGTTACACCCATCTGAAACTTCTCTTCAAAACTATTTTTCTGTCTTGTAGAACAGTACAATTTTGAATTTTAATTTTAGTGTCTGAGTTGTGATTTAATAACAAATTTTCTCACTTCTGAAGAGAAAAGAAGGAAACTTGAGTTACCCTCAGTGACAAAGTATGTACATATACCATGAATATAAAAATACAGTGATGCCATAGCTATTCATGCTCAGAGTGATATTTACAAGTGGGAAAAAATTATGACGGGAATTTCCTAGTAATATCATACATGCTCAAGAACTTATTTAAAGTGTGCAAATTCTATGTGTGATTTCAATAATCAAATACTCCTATTTTTCAACACAGTACATTCTTATCCCTTACTGACTATTATCACGAGAGAGAGTCTGCAAATCACAGAGCCAGGGTGCATTGTTCTAACAAATCTCTCATATTTGTTATTTTCCATAGAAAATACTAGATAACTAATAAGTACTGTTTCCATCTTCGGTTCCTACGATATAAAAATAAAACAACTAATCACGAGGTGACATTGACCAAGATGCATTGTATTCATAAGTTGACATGTTGAATTGAAACCTCTTTTGTACAACTACTAACGATTATATATATGTATATATATATATATATATATATAAAAGCCACAAAAATATGTAAAAAAAAAGTAGGCAAAGGAACAAGAGAATTCTCCATCCCTGTATTCTGTCTTTTACATACAGTATGTTGGATATGTAGGATGGAAAGCCATGGTAAAGAAAACAACAACACCTGTGCAATATACGATCCACTTCAGCAAGAATAAAAAAAATAAAACCAAGCAACTCTCAAATACCACTGAGCTTCCTTTCCTGCCTCAAACAGGGCGGGAAAGAACAGGCAAAGAACAGCTTCCAATTTTGCCTCCTCTTGGCCTTCCATCCTTACCAAGGAGGGGACAAGGCCCCTCCCCCCCCCAGGTGTGATCTTTGTATTACAAGTGGAGTCCAGACTGTAGTAAAGCCAATATGCCCACGAAACCGGGGACTAGGAAGCCCCAGCTGGTTCTAATCTCACCAAGTATTGCATGTCAGCCGCGGGAGGATCGACCCTTCTCCGGTAATCATTGTGGACCTTGATGTACTGTTCTATGAAGTGTGAGTCTGTGATCGACGGCACTTGGTTCGACCTACTAGCTACCAGTATAAAGAAGCTGAAGGTCCACAAGCAACTTAATGTCTTCATAGCCATGGAAAGGCAGGAAGGATGCCCGGCCTGCACTAGCCGGTAACTGCCAGGGCAGTCGGGTTTCCGCTTTCTCCAGGGATCGCGCTCCCAGGCCGGGCGCTCCATCCTTCTGCCCAGGCTCGAGCCCTGCTGGGGATGGAGCCAGGGAGTGGGCGCAGCCACTGAGCCACCGGGCTAGAGGGGAAGGCTTGAGACATCTTGGCTTGTACAGTTGTGCTCCGCTTCCTGCGGATCCTATCTGGAATCATCTCCGAGGGGCACTGGATTGTGATCCAGTTTCAAGGCACAAGAGCAAGGTGTGCTGGATGCTGGCAAGGCGCCGAGCGCTCTAGCTTCTCTGTGGAGCCTTTGAATTGTTTTACCTAGACCCAAGGTATCCATTTGTTCCTTCCCTCGGAGATCTGAGAGTAGGCAATTTGTAAATTCAGGATTAACTGGGATCTTAAAGGATTATCTCCTCAAGCGTTTAAAACACTAGTTTACCTTATCTGACCCATTTGTCTCCAGATTTTAACTGTGTGGTACGGCCTGTACTGTTTTCTAATATAAACAAGTACTTTCCAATGCGATTAAATAATACATTTTCAGTATTTATACGTTTCAAAAGATATCTTTATATAGCAATATAGGTTGTTTACAATGAACATGTTTGCATCTACCACTAAAACACGTATCAAAAACTCACTCCAGGAAATGTACTCATTACCTTGCTCATGTAATTGTAACCCTTCTGTACAGCATTTTTATAATTTAAAAAAGTGCATAAAAAGGTAAAAAAAAACTCACTCTGCTGAAACTAAGTATTATTTTAATAGAAAGTCAAAATCATATTCCTTTTTCCCCCCAATACCTTATTGATGTAACTATAACCCCTCTGTACAGCATCTTTACAAGAAAATAAAATTTAAAAAAGTAGAAATTATAAAATGAAAGGAAGTAAAGGTCTGAATGGAAATTGTACTAGATAAGATAGAAAATATTTCTAGTCTATTACCTGTTGATAGCATATTGCTACATATAGTGTTCCATGTAGTCAAGCTGAGCTTCTTGTAGTTCAAACCCCAGGACACATACACAAACACATATACATACATATACGGATACATGCATATATTCACTTCCATTTATGTAAACCTATGAGCCTCTATATATATTCTGTGTAATCCCACTGGCATTACATAGTCTAACTATGGCTAACCTCTGGTCCCTTGCCTGCAGTCAGTCAGGGCACAGTTCCATATCTTCTACTTCAGCCACATCCATCAAACTGACAAAGTTGTTTCTTATTCAGTTCCTTGTGCTTGCTTTTCCTTTTGCTTTCAGGACTCTACAGACCTTCAGTCTGAGTTCCCTACCTTCTATTTATTTTTTTATTGTGTCAATTGCTACCTGAATTTCTATCATTAATTTCTATAACATCTGTCTCCTCTACTAGATTGTAGCCTGCATTGAGAAAATACCTTTTTTTTCTCAGTGCATTATCTCTAGCACATAGAACTGGTACAGAATCTTTAGGCTTTTAATAAAAATATATATTAAATAAATGAATGAATAAATTACTCTTCAACTTTCCTCATAATCTTGTGTATGTTTTAATCTTTTTGAGAGCAGAAAGTATATCTCGTCATGTGTATAGAAGGGACGAAATTAATATTATTTTCGCGTGTGTGTATGTGTGTACTGGTCCTAGGGCTTTAACTATGCAAAATAATAGAGATTACATACATTAATGTAGTCTAACTTGTCTGCAAAGACTAATACAGTCTTTTTCTTTTTTTATGCCGGCCTGGTGCTGTCCCTAAGCTTCTTTTGCTCAAGACTAACTACTACTTGAGCTAGAGCTCTGATTCCTGCTTATTTTGAAGATGGGAGTAGTTTATTGGAGGTAAGAACCTCAGAGACTTTTCCTTCCCCGGACTGGATTTGAACTGCTATCCTCAGTACTCAGCCTCTAGAGTAGTTAGGATTATAGGTATGTGAGCCACTAGCACAGGACACAGTCTTGTCTTTTTAAATAATTACAGGCTTTTTGATGGCAAATAAAGTTATTTTCCCATCAAGTATCAATCTGGGTGCTGGGCATATGGTAGTTGTTTTATGAAATACTCAAAATAATTCAATTAAATGCACAATGACACAATTTCCTCTTTGAATCCATGCCAGGCTTTGGAGCTCTCCCTGACTAAGGGAAGTGTGGTGAGTTCACTTCAGGCCCGGATTTGGGGACGGTGTGGGGGCGGGGCCTTAAATGTCTCCTGCAGCCCCTGCGCATTTCTTCAAGGCTTTGGATTTTATGGTGAGCTTTGGAGTTGAGGGGTGCTTTGGCCTGTGTCTACTTGGGGGGTGGGTAGAAGGAGAGGACAGCAGACAGCTTTGGGACAAGAGATGGCCTTAGAGGGATCATTTTCTTTTTGTTATTACCGCCCTTCCCCCCCCCCCCACTCCTGAAAGTGAAGGAGGGCAATTAAAGCCTTACTTCTACTGCCCACCCCTTCATGCCAGCATTGGTTGCCAAGCAACCTGCAGACCGACTTGGCTTGGCTTGTGTAGTAGGAGCTGGAAACTCTCCCTTCCAACGTCTGCCGCCTGAAGTTGTTTGAAGAAGGTTCTTCCTGAAATCGCCTTGGCTTTATCCACCTTTTAGGGAGAGTCACGTTGGCTGTCCCTAGTGTCCCCAGCCTGACCTTTGCGAATCCCAAATATGCAGGGGGTAGGTAGCAACTTGCGGGTGCTGAGGAATAATTTAATTAGGGGAGGGCAAGGAGGATTACTGTGCTTTTCTTCAACGCAGGAATGACTTACTGTCCATTTTCAGATCCTTGGGATCCTTGCATCCTTGGGATGCAAGATTAACTTGGGCCCTGCCTTAATGGCGTTTATACACTAATTTGAACGGACAGATTGCACCTTGTGTATTGTATAAGCTGGTGTAGATTAATTTGTTTTGATTTGGTATAAGCAACTTAATAGCCAACAAAATTACTTACCCAAAAGAGAAATTGGAATTGGAGTTTTAAAAAAAATAAGGGAAGTAGAAAATCAGTTTTTCTTTCTGGGGATACCAAAGGCATTGGTTAACAGTAGTTAATACATACAAGAGATAATGCTCTATACTGTAGAGCTCTTTGAGTGGCACCAGTAGCTGTTCAGAACTGCTTTTCCTTTCTCTTGCTATCCTCTTCTCACTCAGTGATTTAGGACAAGGGCAGTCCAAAGATTGGCTCACATGTATTTGTTTGGAGTGTTGATTCTTGAACCACTCAGGTTAGGTTTCAAGTCTTTGGTACCTGCAGCTAATTCCCTTCTGATTCTTCTAGTATCTGTGCTAACAGAATACCTGTATTGGAAAAGAGGTCTGAAACTCATGTATGCATTCAGGCTTTTTTGTAACAGAGAATTTGGTAAAGGAAAATCCACTTTTCTGGGTCTTAGTTTGCTCTGTCTGAAAATCAGAAGGTTGGACTTTGAAACTGTATGCAAATCTTAAGAGTCTTTAAATTAGATGGTTGGACCTGACTATTCTAACTTTAAAAATGCTAGGGTTCTCTGTGTAGTTTGGTATTTCTCTTTGAACATTGCTATAGAGTTTGTATGAATCATTTTTATGTTATATACTTCTGAATTCTCATATCTGAATTGACTAGATTTACTTACTTAATAAATATTAAAGTGCTTACTGTCTTCTGGACTTTCTATTAATTCCCAAGGATACAAGGTGAGCAAAACTGTTCTCCTTGCCCAAAGGCTTACAGTCTAGTATTGAAGAGTAATCAGTGTATATCCAATGCTGTTAACATCTAGCCTCATACTTTTCAGACAGTTTGTGCTGGCATTGTGATAGTTCTAATTAGGTGCAGGGAGGTAAAACTAACCTAAGAATGTGTTAAAATATATATATATATATATATATATATATATATATATATATGTATAGCTGGCACCAGTGGCTCATGCCTGTAATCCTAGCTACTCCGGAGACTGAGATCTGAGGATCACATTTCAAAGCCACCCTGGGCAGGAAAGTCTGTGAGACTCTTATCTCCAATAAACTACCAAAGTGGAGTGGAATCTCAAATGGTAGAGTGCTAACTAGCATTGAGCACAAAACTTGGTGACAGTGCTCAAGTCTTGAGTTTTACCCTGGCATCAGCACACACACATGCACACGCATACACACACTACAGGTATTTCATGGTGCATTACTTTATTAACTACACATGTTAGATATCTATTTGTATATATATATATGCTACATGTATATACATTTAGTACATGTCTAAGGTAAATTAAGGGCAAGGGATAACCACTTTTGTGGTCTCTGCAGAAAATGGAAAGAACTCCTACAGTTAAGGACCTGAATATTCGAATATTTATACTTAACTCTTTTTATTATTTGCAAATGGAGTACAATGATTTGAACTAGCTTTCCTAGTTCAACAACTGGGAGTCTGATAATGTGTGTGGAGAAGCAATGAGCTGACTTTTCAGCATCTCCAATTCATCCCTAATTGTTAGCTGGGTAGTCATGATGGCAAACAAGAGCTCTTATGATTGTGACCAAACAGCAAATCCAGGGCCTACAAAATGAACAAACTGATGACAGCTTTGAAATGTTGACATCTCTCATGTTTTAATTTTATACTTTCTTGTGAGAGAGAACTCTGAAAAGAAGGCCATACTCTGGAGGTGTAGGAAGAGGACCTTGATTCAAAGCCAGTTTGGGCAAAGAGTTAGGGATACTTCATCTCAAAACAAAAACAAAAACAAGCCAGGTTTGGTGGTAAATTACTGTAATTCTATTGAGGTAGAAGTATAAGTTGGAGGATCTTACAGTGGTAGAGAGGAGGACCATGCACTCGTTTCCTATTTCTGCAATAAAAATAATTGCTACAAACGTAGAGATTCAAACCAACATAAACATATGCGTTTATAGTTCGTGAGATGAGAGAACAGAATGATTTCTGAGTTACTAAAATGTAGCTGTCAGCAGGACGCCTTCTTTCCTTGTGGAGATCCTGTGGGAAAATCCATATTTGACACCCATGCCTTTTGGAAGCTTCCTGTTCCTTTCCTTCATCTTCTAGCCAGCTGTGAGTACCTTTGCTTCCATCCTATTGTCTTCCCTGTATTACTTTATCTTCCTTCCTCTCTCTTGTAAGGACCTAGGTAGCTCATTGAGCCTACAGTTTAGTTGAAGATGATCTCCCACCTCAAAATTCTTAGTCATGTGGACAAAGTCTTTTTACCATGTAAGGGATATATTTACAGAATCCAGGGATGAAGATATGAACCTCTTTGGGAACCCATTAGTATGTCAGGGGTATAATGTAACTGCCTCATAAAAAGTTGGTTTCAAAGATCTAAATAAAAGTGATTGACCATTAACCACAGTGATTTTGTGTGTGTGTGTAAGGTGTATGAGTTGTATGGCTTGTTTAGAGTAAGAATGATCATTTTATATTTGTTGTACCTATTTAAAAGTACAGTAACACTGCAATGATAAATACAGAAACTGGAATGGATTTAGATGTTAAAAGAGCAGCTGCTGCTCCTAGGAGCCAAACTCAACTGTTCTCTAGAAGGAAGAATCCATTCAAAGTATGTAAACTGTTGGATTTTTCTCTTGCAAGATGATTCATTAAGTAGTTGTGGACTCTGCTCTTCTTGTTCTTTTTTTTTTTTTTTTTGTGCTGGTCTTAAGCTTGAACTCAGGGGTTTAGGTGCTGTCCCTGAGCATTTTTGCTCAAGATCAACCTGTTAACTTTTGAGATACAGCTACACTTCCTGCTTTTTTAGGGAGTAGTTAATTGGAGATCAAAGTTTCATGGATTTTTTTCCCTAGGCTAACTTTGAACCTCTTTCCTCAGCTGTTAGTCTCCTGAGTAGCTAGGATTACAGGTGTGAATCATCAGTGCCTGGCTCTTCATGTTTTCATGAATTATTTTTTGCCAGTCCTAGGGCTTGAATCAGGGCTTGGGGGCTGTCGCTGAGCCTCTTTGTGCTCAGGGCTTGCTCTCTACCACTTGAGTGACAGCGCCACTTCTGGATTTTTCTGAGTAGTTTATTGGAGAAAAGAGTCTCATGGACTTTCTTCTCTGCCTGGCTTCGAACCATGATCCTTAGATGTCAACCTCCTGAGTAGCTAGGATTACAGGCCTGAGCCATCAGCACCCAGCTTGTTTTCATGACTATTCACACTCACAAGTACTTCAGCAATTTGAAGAATGGAACTTCTGAAGTTGAAGATAATAACTAAAAGTAGACACTGATTGCAATATTTTACTTTTTTACTTCTTTTGTCAAGGTGATGTACAGGTGGGTTACAGTTACATAGGTAAGGTAGTGAGTACATTTCTTGTCGAATTTGTTACCTCCTCTCTCATTTTCTCCTACTTTCCTTCCCCCCAATCCTCTTCCCCCCAAGTTGTACAGATCATTTCCAACATATTGTCTTGTGAATATCAGTGTTGCATTGGTTCCCCCTTTGTGATTTGTCTTACCATTTTTGTTGTACCCATTCCCGTCTTTAATTCAGATAAATGTATATATACCATACCCAGGGTACCAAAATAGAATACAATGACAACAGGGAATAAGCCATAGTAGGGGAAAAACACACAGAAGAAACAAGAAATCATATAGTACATTAATTGTTTCCTTATTGTTATTTAACTTCTATATGTCTTCTGTACGTCTGAATATGACAAGTACAGCTTTTCTCTAGTTATTTTCCTAAGTTCCCATTTTTTTAAGTTAAATGATGTCATGGGGTTTCAACACTATAAAAAATCCTCGATTTGTGATAAAGTTTTCTGCATTTTTAAGTATCTACTTAAGTGGTCATGTGTAACGTTACCATTTCCTACTCAACTATTTATTAGGACCATGTTTAAAAACTGATATATTAAATTGGTATTGAGGTAAGTTTTTGTTTTCATACTCTTACAATCACTGGATAGTGATACATCTGTCTTGAATGTATTTCTATATACCTATCATCAGTATCATATGAAATCACAAATTAGATGAGCAGTTTAGAAGGATGGTGGTTTTTTGGTAGAAGCAGATTTCTCTTTTCTCTGGACATTTGGATTCCTGGTTCAGTCCTCAGAGCTTCTTTTAAAGATTGCCTTTCGTTTTAGAAATTGAGGAGATTCATAGAGTAGGAAGGCACACATGGAATGTGATTGCTCTGCCATAGTCTTTTCTCCTTATTATTGCTTAAGTCAGTATCTTCACCTTTAGAAGGACATGCAGGTATTGATGGCCTGTCTTGCTTATTAGTTTATCTGTGTCTCATGCACAAAGAGGAGTGCTTAAGTGTTTTATTATAGAATTTATTGGGAAATATTATTATTGGGTTTTTTTTGTAGCTAGTCATAGCTTACCTTCTTAAGTATAAAAGTACCTACTGACCTTTTTATTTATTTTTATTTTTTAATTGTGAAAATACCGTACAAAGAGGTTACAATGACATGGGCAAGATAATGAGTACATTTCTTATCAAGCATTGTTGCCTCCTCTTTGTTTCCCCTTCCCCTTCCTTCCCATACTCCCCCCGCACCCGATCCTCTCCCCCCCCACGCCAAAGTTGTGAAGTTTGTTTTTCGACATAATGACTTGTACATCTCATTGTTACAATCCTTTGTTTTATTTTCTTTAATATCATTTTTCAATTTTTCCTGAAGTATTAAAGTATTTATTTGGAAAGCTCATTTTAATTGTCTTGTTAAAAGTTAGATTTATTTTTTAAACTCATATACAAAAACAAAGATTATATATATTTATAGAGGACATTTGGATATTTTCATATATAATATAATGTATAATATGTAAGTCAGGCTAAACTTATGTATCTTCTCACTATATGAATTTATTAATAAATACTTAACATTTCCATTGTATAATTAGCATAGTAAAAAAATAATTCAATGGTAAGTATACCCATGCTTTAATTTGAAGGAATATAACAAGTTAATGAATTTCACTAAAACGTTATTTTTGGTATGGCACACACCATGTTTTATATGTAACGTACTCCGGCATTTAAAGGTATAGAATACATAAAAGTGTATTATGCACATTTTAGACTACAAGGCTTCTTGGAAATGTAGATTAAAGACAGTAATTTGCTAGTCAGAGTCATAAAACATTGACATTTTTGTGAATTCAAAATGAGCAAGCATCAATAGTATCCTGTAGCTCTACCTGGTAGATAATGTAACAAAGAATTGCCCTGTGCATGCTGGAAAATGCTTAAGAACTGGCGTTTTGAAACTGTAGTATAAGTTTATTTAAATTTTTCTTTGCTTGTTAAAAATTTAAATGTATTTTAAGTTCATTTGAACATTTACTGAAATAAAATATGCATAGTTGGAAATTCATACATGTTAATAAAATCTAGAGACTTTATTGTTAAATTAATTTAGCTTATTGATACAGCATTTCTTTCTTTCCTTTCTTCCTTCCTTCCTTTCTTCCTTCCTTCCTTCCTTCTTTCCTTTCCTTCTTTCTTTCCTTATTTTTTTAAACTTTATCTATAACCAGCCTACAATGATGAACCACTGTAGTTCCAACGTTAATGTTGGTTGGTTGTTTCATTTGTTATAGATGTCTTTGGTGATTCCTTTGGGAAATCAATAGTGTTGGATACTGACATAATGTCATTCAGTATTTTTTGAGTTATTCATTGTTTTACGCTACAGACATGATGCACTTTTAAGTTTAATTTGCATTATAAATATTTCTGCTTCCTGTGTTTAATTCTCAGAAATCAACAAAATAATAAATCAGATCTTGGTGTAAAGCCAGGCACTAGTGGCATTGGCTGAGATTGGAGGATTGTGGCTCAAATCCAGCCTGGGCAAGAAAATTCGTTAAGACACTAAACTCAGAAATGGAGTTCTGACTCAAATGGTAGAGAGCTAGCCTGGAGCAAAAAGCAAAGCAAACATGCCCAGGTCTTGAGTTCAACCCCTAGTACTGGCACACACAAAAACAGGCTACATAAATTCTCTCTTCCAAGGTCCCACCACTTGATCTGAGGAGCCTTATTGGTTCTGATGATGAGGTAATGTTTACTTGATATTTAACATAATAAACATTTGGCCACAGAATGACATGAAGTATATATTAATTATCATTACATTTTATTTTTGAGGATGATTTTTCACAGGTCCCTCATATGCATTTTAACTCAGCAAATTCAACCTGTGCTGTTGGTTGGGATATACCATGCCAAATACCACATAACCAGCATCATCTAAATGACATGGTTAGAATGTATTTGCTAATTGCTAAGTGTCACAATTATCTATCTTATTAGCACTGTACTGGATCCAGAAATTTTGCTATTTACTCTATACATTGTCTACTTTAAATACTTCATATATGAAAATCAATCATTGTAAATTGTGTTTCACTTTTTTTTTACACATAGGAATACTATTTACAATTCTAAAAATAAAATCAGTAATGTTCAGGTATAACTAAAAGGTTTGAAAAAATATTACATTAGATCTTCCTAGTTTAACAATGTCAGAATAATCTCTTGGATCATGCTTTAAGCTGTTAGGATATGATGGAGCAGGTGAATAATGACACTTAATACAAAGTGTCTTCTTGTAAGGTGTTTGTATTTAAGACAATATCTAGTAAATATGGTACCTGACTAATCTGGGGTAGAGATTGCTTTTGTATCTTTTTCTTTGTCTTATAGCTGGTTCTCATATAGCTGGTTCTTTTCATATTCTCAGACTTTATTTTTGGAAAATTACACAAATATCCTGGTCTCAGCATGGAAGGTCCTGGGTTCCATTCACAGTAGTACAAGTGAAAGTAATAGTAATAATAATATTGATGATGCAGTATTAGTGTAGATTAGATCTTACTGGTTTAACAGTGTCACACTAATCTCTTGGATCATGCTTTAAGCTACTAGAATGTAATGGAGTAAGTACATAACTACACTTAATCCAAAGTGTCTCCATGGGATAGATTATAGATTACTGTATACATTGACACAGGTTTTTCTCTGAACTATGCCTTATCCTTCTTTTGTAGTTTAGAATTCAATATCCTTTTCAAAGGTTGCACTGATACTGTGTTCTCCATTTTGAGTGTATGTGTCTTTGTCTAGGTCAGTGTGTATGTCCTAGTATTTTCCCAGTACTTTGTTTAATCTTTCTTCTATCTATCTTCTCTGTGATCCCTTATTCCTATGGACATGTGCAGGGAGTCAAAAATACCATGGGCTGGGAAGGTGGCTCAGTGGTAGAGTGCTTGTCTTGCATGAGGCCCTGGGTTCGATTCCTCAGCACCACATAAGCAGAAAAAAAAAGCCGGAAGTGGCGCTGTGGCTCAAGTGGTAGAGTGCTAACCTTGAGCTGAAGAGCTGAGGGACAGCGCCCAGGCCCAGAGTTCAGGCCCACGACTGGACCCTCCCCTCCCCCCAAAAACAGATTATCATGATATTCTAGAAATGCAGTCAGTGGTTCTCAGGGTTGGTGATCTCCAGTTTCTGTGATTACTTTGGAGGAAATGATTGGCAGTGGAGTCTCAGAGCAATAAAGAAAACACCTACCTAAGACTTTTAAGAAGAAACAATAATTTGTTTTTCTTTTCTCAAATTCTTTTGGAACCAGGACTGAGCACCAGCTGTAAAGCAAAGTATAGACTTACTGGTATTGAGGCCAAGAGCATATCCTTTTTTTTTTTAAATATGTTTTTTATTGTGAAAATACTGTACAGAGGGGTTACAATTATGTGAGCAAGCTAATGAGTACATTTCTTATCAAGCATTGTTGCCTCCTCCTTTGTTTTTCCCCTATCATTCCTTCTCTCCCATCTCCACAACTACACTTCCCCCCCTCTCCCAAATTGTAAAGTTCATTTTTTGACAGAGTGTCAAGAGCACATTCTGACTAGCTCTGCCTGCTCTCATTGGTCACTAATGAGCTGCCAGCTAAAAATTGTTAGCTCTCTGTTGAAAACATAGATTTTAATTATTTATTTTGTAGGCACAAATGCTAAGGTAAGTGGTAAACCCATTAATATCAAATGGTAAGCCTGTTAGCATCACACTATTTTCTTTTTACCTCTAGAAACTGGAAATAATACCTGAAAATTTGCCAGCACTAACAAATACCAACAAAATGAAACTGAAATGAAGGAGGGATAGAAGGAGTATACTCAAAGAAATGCAGGAAAAGAAAATCAAATATCACATATAAAGATACTCCACGCAAGAAGGCAGATGAAAGGTAATGTCTGAGGCTTTGCAATGTATTATATATTTTATTTTGGTGTCTGTACTAGAGCTTGAACTGTCGCGACTGCCTGGACCAGCAAGGAAGACACGACCCGGGATTCTTCTCAAAGCAGAGCACTCGCCATCGGGAAGGTGGAAGGCGGAAGCCAGCGCCATCTTTGGTCGCGGCCCCTGCAGCTCTCCACATTGAACTCAGGGCCTGGGTGCTGTTCCTTACCCTTCTTGCTCAAGACTTGATCCACAGTTCCACTTCTGGTTTTTGGTAGTTAATTGGAGATAAGAATCTCACAGGCTTTTCTGCCTGTGCATATTTAGAACCATAATCCTCAGATCTCAGCCTCCTGAGTAGCTAGGATTACAGGCATGAGCCGCAAGCATCCAGCTTTTGTAAAACATTTTAAATGAAATTTAAAACAAGAAACATGTGCATAACAGAAATATCTTCCTATCTGGTGTGTCTTGCTATTCATCATAATAAGCATAATGGTTACCAATCAGCACTATTTTGATAGCTATGGATTACTTCTTTGCAACAAACTGAAAGTTTATGTTATCACTATAACATTCAGTACTATTTTGGTTGCCATGGGCAATTCAATATAGTATTTTACTTACATTACAACAAACTTAAAAGCTTATTACCACTATTTTCAAATGTGAAAGTGTGTGGGATATAGTCATCTTTTCTCAAGTTGGAGCTTTTTACTTGCCTGGAAAGTAAGAAATAGGACAATATTAAGCTGCATGTTTTTTGATGTAGCTGTCATAGACTCATGTTGGATGACAGTCTCTGAGTTTACAAGTTGTAAAACTGGTTTCAGATGTTACAGTGAACCCTTTTATTAAAAAATGATCAGCATCCTGACTGCCTTTTACCTCATTCTGGGAATTTTTTTCTTTTACCCAGTACTGGGGCTTGAACACAGGGGCCTTGCACTTACTCAGCTTATTATGCTTATGGTCAGTGCTTTCTACTTAAATCATACTTTCAGACTGTTTTTTTTGCTGCTTTCTTGGAGGTTGGAGTATCTCACACTTGTCTTTTGGGGCTAGCTAGCTCTTATAATATCTGATAAAACAGATGTTTTCAGTGCCCATATGATGGTTCCTATTGTTTTTCATGTATAGTGTGATCAAGGTGAAGAAGTCAGCATGGAGGGCCTGACAACTTTGGATAGGAAAGCCCTTCTACAGCAAGCCTTTACCAACAACCCTCACCACACACAGCACAGTGCAAGGAAATCAGACGCAGTAAGTCATCAGCAGTTCTTATCTGATAAGTCACTAAGCTAATTTACCCTCCAAGATTTTATGGGCTTTTACTTGAATAAATAATTGCATCTATTAAATTGCCCTGAGATGTATATTCATGGATGTGCAAATCAAATCATTACTTTTGTAAAGTATTTATTTCTTTTTGGAAACTGAAGCCATTAATCCGATAGAAATTTTAGCCAAGTAAGGACAGTGCCAGGAATCAAATTAAGTTTTCTTTTGGAAAAATAAAGCAAAATCCAAGTCTTTCAATATTAACTTTATGTATTTTTCTACATCTGTTAGGTTGATGAGTATTGCTTTGTCTAGGTCTGTTTAGATAATTCTAGCATGTCTCTTTGCATTGAGTTAAGAGGAGCAAACTGCTTGAAGATGGAGTCCACTGTCCCAGGGGGACTTTAGCCATAGATCCTTGGTCTAGAGACATATCGTAAGACAATGGGAAAGAGTTGATAAAATACTACTGTAACAGCATGTAAGCTAGAGCACATGAGCTAGGAAATCTCTGGTATAGGTGGTCTATGTGCTAACAAAGCAATATGGATTATGCTAGTTATATTATCATATCCATCAGATATATTCCATGCATATATTCTATCGAATATATATTTCATTTGGGTCATAGTTATCTAGAATCAATATGGTCTCAACTGGCAGCAATGTGTAATTAATCCCTGGACTGGGCAGACTGATTTTTTGTGTGTGTCAGTATGCTGAGATACATATTTGTTACAGTTGTTCCAGTAGAAACATATACATATAATGTTCTGTGTCTATTGTTATTTGGTATTTATGCTTAATGGAATAAGGAGTTATCAGATTATCATAAAAATAACAAAGGTATTTATTTATTTATTTATTTTGTCGGTTGTGGGGCTTGAACTCTGGGCCTGGGCGCTGTCCCTATGTTCTTCAGCTGAAGGCAAGTGCTCTACCACTTCAGCCACAGCACCACTTCCAACAAAGGTATTTATGAGGCAAAATAGTGTCCTAAATAAGGTTTACCTTTGTTCCCTCCTGAAGTTATAGTTGAGAGGGATTTCACCAGTACTTAAGTCCCATGATATATAACTCAAAGCTATTGGTGTATTCCTTTCCTTAAAATTATGTAATTAGTGGCAGTGTATGAAAATTCACCATCAAGTAAGTTTAAGCCTTAACATATTGCTAGCACACTCATTTACCTTTCCCCTTGTGGATTTGATTCTGTAATCAAGGTCTTTGAAATTAACACCAATGTGTTTTTAAAATGCAGGTGTGTTTGTGACTTTAAGCATCACTATCCCACAATACTGTGAAATTATGTAATCACTTAATCCCAATAAAGAATTTGCAAAAAATAAAAATAAAATAATGTTTGGAACCTTGTGTTCCAATCAAGTTGACAAATGAAATTAGCCATTGCAAGTCCAGTCTTCTCCACCCAGCAACTACACACACACACACACACACACACACACACACACACACACGCTTCCTTAAACCAGTCTTCATCTCTACATAAAGACAGTGACAAGGTCATGATTCTCCCTAACATACTACATTTATTTTGTATTTAATCATCAACACACCCCACCTCTTCCTCAGGAAAAGAGGCAAGGTTTCTTTACATGATGTCTAATCTTTCCTTGGGGAAAAAAATAAAATGCAAGTGAACACTTCTTTATTGAACAGGTAGCTACTGACAGAGCAGTGAATCTGTGGCTTTTTGTCTCCTCTAGTTCTTTTGTCATTTCTCCATGTGGTCCATTTTCTGATTCTTTGTCTCAGTTTGATTTCTGCTTCTATTCTGCTTCCTGTTTACCCAGACCTCTAAACCAATAGGCCTGTGGTGGTTCTAGTCTTTCTCATAAAGCACTTACCACCATGAACTCCAGCACTCTAGGTGGACTGTCTGCATGGGCTCTGTATATTTTCTTTTTCTTTCTTGTGTGCCCTTGGGTTCCAGCTGATGCATGTCTTCTCTGTACATAATTTCCATGGCTTTATTACTGTGCACTTTCTGAATCATCCTTAGTTATTATAGATTATACCTTGCTTTAAGTGTAGTTGAGACACTTTCTTTTCTTTTTCTTTCTTTCTTTTTTTTTGGTAGGTTGTGGGGCTTGAACTCTGGGCCTGGACACTGTCCCTTAGCTCTTCAGCTCAAGGCCAGTGCTCTACTACTTGAGCCACAGTTCTATCTCTGGCTTTTGGTAGTTTTTATTGGAGATGAGAGTCTCATGTAGTTTTCTGCCTGGGCTGGCTTTGAACTGCGATCCTCAGATCTCAGACTCTGAGTACTAGGGTTACAGGCGTAAGCCACCAGCACCCAGTAAGACACTTTTATTTTAATTGCTACTTTATTTTATTACTAAATAAAAATCCCTTTCTTCAGTTAGCATTGCTTAATATTAAGTGCTTGAAACTTGTTGAAAGCAATATTTATTAGCTTAGTTCAATTCATAGATATTTCTTACCCTCTCTTTCATTTATTTAGTTGTTTTTTACCTGCTCATATCTCAGAGGAGGAGAGAATTGGGAATGGCATGTGTGGTGCAACCCTTCCTGTCCCCTTTTCTGGGGAGACAGCTACTTGCAGAGTCTCACACATTTTCCCCTAATCATTAATTTTTATAGGTTACTTTGTTCAATTCTAGTGTTAAGGATGTAGCTTATTGTCACTGCCCATATCAGAGCATACTTTCCAACAGCTTTATCAATAATGAATAAAATTTCTATTTGGTCTATTTAGTTTTCAGTATGCTTAATTCTTTTTTAAGTGTTGGTTCAGAACTTGGATAGAAGGAACTGTTTCTTTTACTTATTGGACACTAAAGTTAGAGCAAAGCATTGCATTTCATAATGTAAATATGTACTTACTTCTTTTATCTTTCCAAGAAGGCTCCAGTTTCCTTGGCACAATTACTTCAACCTGTCATCATTAAAAAGAGTTCTGCTCACTACCAAGCAGTAATAAAGTAGAATGGTTAAGAGCCATTTAATTTATTTTCTATTGCTACAATTTATTCATCCTGCAGCCTTGGGCAATTACTTAACATACTTTGGCTTTATGACATTTACTTGTACAGTGAAGACAATAGTACTTACTGTATATTGTTATTGCAACGATTAAATAAATCAATATACTTTAAGGTGATTTAATAATACCTTGTGTCTAGAAAATCCTTTATAAATGGTAGCAGCTCTTGTGGTTCTTATTTTCTCAGCATTGAGAATTGTTCTAGTCATAAACAAATTCATTAGTGCTCATGGATTACACTGAATGAACTGTCAAAACTTTCATGCCCACTCTGTGTATTCATGATGTCTCATTTGGTTTGAAGGCTCTTTTACTATCTCCTACTCCCTTTTTGTGGAGGCCTCGATTTTAGGAGAGAGCTAATCTTTACGGAGGGAAAGCTTTTCAAGATCTCAGTGATCTCCCCTCCTCCCCCCTAGCCCCCCTCCACTTACTTATTATGCATATTATTGCTATTTCAATTTCATTATACATGCAGTTTTGTGGGAAGAATATCATAAAATTATTTGGGAAGAGAAATAATGATCTATCATGGAAACCTTATATTTCTTGAGACAAAGGATATTGTTAGCTATAGGGTATGAAAATGTGGGCTTTTGAATTTTTCTTCATAGTTTGCAGCAACTTTTGATTGGCAGACCCTATGAGACCATTCAGTAACTGTCAAAAGATGACAGAGATTAAATAACTGATAGATCTATTCCAAGGCTTGAACTAGCTCCAATGCTTTTTCCCACTGGGGGAAAAAACAACTACTTTTCTTATAGCAGTAGCTCCTGGAGATAGGCAGTTTAGATGATACTTTAGCTCTGGGCTAGCTTCTCTAGCTCTTCTTGACCTTTCTGGCTTGGCTGCTTGAGGCATAAATTGCCTCCCATTGTTACATCCTTCCCCCCCTCCCTTTTTTTTTTCAGAAACAGGAACCTTTCTCATTGCCACTGTCTCATCTTTCCTGGAAAATTTGGTAGAATTGGATTTCCTTAGACCTGGTTGCAAAGACTAACATCTGTGGTGGAAGAGAGACAAAGGCGAATAGAAATGGCTGTCAGGTAGGGCATGTTGGCACATGCCTGTAACCCTAGCATCAGAAAGGTTGAACCGGAAGGACTGAGGCCCTGTTTCAAACAAACCAGCTTACAGGAAATCCTGCAACAGTGTCAGTCACAAATTTGCTTTCCCTGTTCAATATTCACTTTTATAATGATAGATTCTAATATAAAAATCACTCATGTCTTATAATCTGTGTCTTAAGGTTTTCCCTTTTGTGTGTATTAACAATCCATGTTATCTAATTTTTTTATTGTGAAAATACTGTACAGAGGGGTTACAATTACATAGGCAAGATAATGAGTACATTTCTTATCAAGCATTGTTGCCTCCTCCTTTGTTTCCCCTTCCCATCCCTTCCCAGCCTCCCCCTGCCCTCCTCTCCCCCACACACACCAGAGTTGTAAAGTTCGTTTTCGACATAATGACTTGTACATCTCATTGTTGCAATGGGTCTACCTGTATCCCTATTTAAACGATTTGTTTTTCCCCTTCCCCTCCACAAATTATACCAACATCAAATACAGTGAAAGCAGGGGTTATACTGTGGGGTAGGGACATAAAAAGCAACAAAGAAATCATCTTATAAATGTGTTAGAAACAATTGCATGAAAGAAAAAAGCATTTGAATATATATCTTAGGGTTCATTTCCCTAACATCACCTTATCTGACATTTTCTGCTTAACTCAGACATATACTAGATATTGCAAATAAGGGAAACCATGGGACCTATGTTTCTTTGGGCCTGGCTTACTTCACTTAATATAATTTTTTCCAAGTTTTTCCATTTCCTAACAAATGGGGCAATGTCATTCTTTCTGATGGAGGCATAGAATTCCATTGTGTATATATACCACATTTTCTTGATCCATTCATCTACTGAGGGGCTCTGGGTTGGTTCCATATTTTAGCTATAGTAAATATTGTTGCAATAAACATAGTCGTGCTGGTAGCTTTAGTGTGGTCTTGTTTGTAAATATTTGGGTAAATGCCCAAAAGTGGGATTGCTGAGTCATAGGGTAGCTCTATGTGGAGTCTTTTAAGAAACATCCATACTACTTTCCAAAGTGGTTGAACAAGTTTACACTCCCACCAACAATGCAGTAAGGTTCCCTTCTGTCCACATCCCCTCCAGCATCTGTTATTAGAGTTCTTGATTTTAGCCATTCTAACTGGGGTGAGGAGGTATCTCAGTGTTGTTTTGATTTGCATTTCTTTTATGGCTAGAGAGGTTGAGCATTTCTTCATGTGTCTATTGGCCATCCTTCTTTCTTCTTCAGAGAAGTTTCTCTTTAAGTCTTTAGCCCACTTGTTTATTGGGCAGTTGTTTCTTTGAAGATTTGTTGTTGGTGGATTTAATTTTTTGAGTTCAAGGTATATTTTAGATATGAGACCCTTGTCCGTTGTACGGCTAGTGAAGATCTTCTCCCAATCCGTGAGCTTTCTATTGATCTTGATAGCTATGTCCTTTGCCATGCAGATGCTCTGCAATTTCATGCAGTCCCATTTGTCCAACCTTTCTTTGATTTGTTGTGTTTCTGGCTCTCTATTAAGAAAATTTCGGCCAGGGGCTGGGAAGGTGGCTCAAGTGGTAGAGTGCTAGCCTTGAGCTGAAGAGCTGAGGGACAGCACCCAGGCCCAGAGTTCAGGCCTCAGGACCGGACCAGCCCCGCCCCCACCCCCAAAAAAGAAAATTTCAGCCTGTGCCAACCAAACCTAGGGTTTCTCCTATTCCTCTAATTTGTTATGTCAAAACATTACCATAAAATGTTATCATAACATTTTTATACATTTTTCATTTATATCAAATATTTAAAAAATTATTGATGAAATATGTTTTTGACAAGATAAGGACCAACTCTACACTAAAAGAAAATGTACTTTCTCATAAAGTTCAGTTTGATAGTAGGATCATATCAAGGTAGTAGTGAATTGATTATATTTTGAAATTCTTTTATTGTAAAGATAGATTTTCTTTTCCTATAGAAATTATAGCCAGGTGCTCATGGCTCACATCTGTAATCTTAGCTAATCAGGAGGCTGAGATCAAAGGATTATGATTGAAAGCCACCCTGGGAGGAAAGTCCACCAGACTTATCTCCAATTAACCACCAAAAAGTCAGAAGTAGAGCTGTGACTTAATTGGAGGAGGACTAGCCCTGAGCAAAAAAGCTCAGGGATATGGCCCAGGCCTTGAATTTAAGCCCTAGGGCTGTCCCCCATCCCAAAGTAGAAATAACAGTCTTATTTAAATGGAGAATGTGAATTGAGATTATATATTATTAAGTAGTAACAAAATCTGATACAAAACATATAGAAAGTATGTAGCTGTAAGAAACATCATAGAAAGTATATAGCTCTAGTTGTACAAGAGTTTGAATCCCAGAAGTCAGGTTATGAGCATCCTGATGAATGCCACTTTTCCATTCTTCTCCTCCACAATATTTTAATCAGGAGTGATTTAAATGTCTTTCAAAAATAAATGTAAAACTGATTTTTATTGTTGTTGTTGGTGGTGGTGGTGTACTGGGGTTTGAACTTAAGGCTTTGTACTTCTAGGCATCTGGTTGTTTTTCAGATAAGGTCTTACTTTCTGCCTAGACTAGCTTGGACCTGGATCTTTCTATGTATGCTTTCTGCTGTAGCTGGGATGACAGGTACATGCCACCAGCTTTTCCTATTGAGATGGGATCTCATGAACTTTTTGCCCAAGCTGGCTTTAAACTTTGCTTCTTCTAGTCTCACCTTACCAATAGGTAGGATTATAGGCATGAGCCACCATACCCAGCTAGGAATGGATTTTTCCAAGATACATATTACTACGAGAGGTTTCTAAACTATTTTAAAAGTTAACTTTTATGTAGGATGTTTAATTTCATTCAATGTTAATAACTTATCAGATCACTGGTAGATAGAACAAATTACAAGTGAAAAGGTTTTTAAATCTGTTGTTATAGGCTTGCATACTTCCAGCAATACATAATATTGCTTTGTTTCTTGGTGTTTATTTCTAGTAAAATGTATATGTCAATAGCTTAGCAGATCACTGGTAGGTAGAATAAATTACAAGTGAAAAGATTTTTTAATCTGTTGTTACAGGCTTGCATACTTCCAGCAATACATAATATTGCTTCATTTCTTGGTGTTTATTTCTGGTAAAATGTATGTTTTTAAATTATTGTACTTGTTCAGGGACTTTAAACCTTTCATGACAATAAAAGTTAATCATGCATATCTTTGAGTACAAGTTCAGTAGTTTTTAAGGCCTTCTACTTTACCTTATAAAGTCTCTATTGTACCAAGTGCCAGTAGATCATGCCTGTTATCCTGACTTCTAAGGAGGCTGAGATCTGAGGATTGCTGTTTGAAGCCAGCCCATGAGGACAAAAGCTTCACATAGCTTTCTTACTACTCTAATACACACTTTGATGGTCTCTGACCATGGGCAGGGAAGAGAGGTAAAAGTAAGGTTCAGAAATGGTTAAGTGTCTAGTAGAACACAAGAGTAGATTATGCGAGTCCTGGAAAAGAAGCTATTGAGAAGCGTTCATCAGAAGCATCACTGATGGGACATTTGCATTGACTCTTAGAGAGGGAATACACACTAGCACTCAGAAAATGAGCAAGAATGCCAGAGTCAGAAGAACAATACATCCAAAGCCACTGAAGTGAGCCAGAACAAATCTAAGAGACTTAGTATAGGTTGTACAAAGGACAGCTTGTCCCTTGGTACTTTACTTTATTGAGCATGTCTAAATATTTTCCCAAAGGTGAAAATTATTATCATCTATCTTAATTCTGAAAAGCCAAAAAAGATTTACTTCTAGAAAATGGAAAATAGCCAGGCACCAGTGGCTCATGCCTATAATCTTAGCTACTCAGGAGGCGAAGATCTGAGGATTGAGGTTCAAAGCCAGCCGGGGCAGGAAAGTTCATGAGGCTCTTATCGCCAATTAACCACCAGAGAACCAGAAATGGTGCTGTGGCTCACATGGTAGAGTGCTCGCCAGGAGCTGAAGAGCTCAGGGATAGTGCCCAGGCACAAAATTCAAGCCTCATGAATAAATAAATAAATACATAAAAATAAAAGAAAAAGAAAATACCACAGTAACTTGTCAAAGAATGACAACTAACGTCTGTTGAATTTAGACTAATGGCTCTAAAAGGCTAAGTAAAGCATTGTGTTTTAGAGATAGAAGTCTAATTTTAGTTCCCAGTAACTGTAACACTAATTTTTTATGTCTATGAATTTCTATCACAAAGTATTTAGTTTCAAGTTAAGATTTTATACAAGTTAAGATTTTATCTACTCCACTTGTGAAAATAGTTACAATGAATTAAAAAATTTATATTCCACTTTGTATCGAAAATAACTTACTGACCTTCCATTGCTATTTATTTTACAAAATACTGCCAAAATAACAAGTTTTGCAATATGAGATGGCAATACAATATAATTTTCCCACATTGCTCATATGATATTTTGTTTTTAGAATAAGTAAGTGTTGGGATCCTTATCGTTATAAGATTCATCTGTCCAAACATAATAAACACCATGATACAGTGAGTCAAACAAATGACTTTAAAATGGCTTTTTGGGGGGGGGGTGTGGGGGCGAGTAGTAGCTCTGTGGCTTGAATTCAGGGTTTGGGTGTTGTCCTTGAGCTTCTTTTGCCCAAGGCTAGCTTTCTACCACTTGAGCCACAGGTCCACTTCAGGCTTTTTTTGGTGATTAATTGGAATTGAGAGTGTTACCAACTTTCCTGCCTGGACTGGCTTTGAACTGCAATCCTCAGATCTCAGTCACCTGAGTAGCTAGAATTATAGGCATGAGACATCCACGCTAGGAAAAATTGCTTTTTTAAAGTCACAGCCATAAGCTACTTAATGTTTGTTACTGAACATGATCCAAACTGGCAGCAACCGGTGCACTATAGATGTATGAGAGGCCATATCCTACAAATTGGCTACAAGAAAATTGGTATTGGTTGTATACTATATTTCTAAAATGTGTACATTTGGAGGGCTACTTTTTTGTTCTAGTACTGAGTCTTGAGGCCTTGCTTGATTTTCCTCACAGCTGATGCTCTACCACTTGAGTCACACCTCCAGCCCTTGCAGGGCTTTTTGACAAAAAACATTTTATTGAAACTTCTTTTAAATTAAGTTTCAATTAAATATATATAAGAACATTGAAAACAATATAAAATGAATATGCTCACTAGAAGCTCTTGGAAGGTTGTAAGGGCTTGAGGTCTTGCCATTATTCTCCTGGGAATCAAAGCAGCAGGCAAAGTTGGGACACCTTTGGACTTTAGCACACTTCCAACTCCGAAAGCCTCTGAGTCAGAAACCCTGGAGTGGTTAGTTTGGGTATTCAAGATTGTAATGTAGGGATTTTTGTTTCTTGGTGTTTGTTTTTTTTTTTTATCACTGTGAACATGTCAATTGCAGAACTGTTTCTATGGGACAGGAGGAAGATACAATCAGTCAAGAAACCAGTGATAGGCTAGTTTTCAAGGTTATTCAAGGTGAGTGCATTCATTCCACTCTCAAGTCTTAATTTTTAGCCATTTTCACTGTTCACTGAAAGAAGTATTGTTCAAATCCTTCTAAGTTTTGTAGCATTTGATTTAGACCTCCTATTTGATTTTTAAAGTTAATATTAAATATTAAAAATATTAAAAATATTTGTAGAGCTTCCTCTAAGTGAATGGTCCAGAGTATTATGTGAGTTATGAAGTTAAGATTTAGAATGTACTGGTAATACAGGTTTTTGCAATATACTTGCTTTATGCACTGAATGATATTCTAAAGAGAGATGTGGTAAAAGAAAAAGGCTACTTTAAATAAGCAAATATAGGATAGCACTTTGAAACCATAATGCAATTTAAAGAAGTCAAACTATTAAAAAAAATTCTGAACTGATGCTGGGTGTCAGTGGTTCATGCCTATAATCCTAGTTACTCAAGAGGCTGAGATCTGAGGATCATGGTTCAAACTAGCTGTGAGAGGAAAGTTCATGAGACTCTTATCGCCAGTTTACCACCAACAAACTGAAATGGCAGCATGGCTCAAATGGTAGAGTTCCAGCGTTGAGAAAAAAAAAACAAAACTGTAAAGGACATCACCCAGGCCCAGAATTCAAGTCCTAGTACTGGCATACACATACACAAATTTCTAAACTGATTTTTTTGAGTGATTTACTTGGCACCCATTTTGTAACTCAAAACTCAGTAGCAACAAAGAAAGAGGGAAGATATTAAAAATGCTAATGTTAGATAAGGAAATAGACACGAGAAATTTAAGATTTTATTTGTAACATTTAGGTTACTTTCTAATAAAGAGAAAATTTTCCTGCATTTGAAAATGTACCACTTTCACCACAGAGTGGTGCTGTGGTTCTAATGTGTCTACGTTGGCCAGTTACATATAAAACCTTATTGAAAACCTACTTCCCGAAGTCTTTGTTTCAATCACACAATCTAAGGGAACAGTCACAGCCCCTCTTTCCATGATGTCAGCCTTTGTTTTCTTACAGGAGAGACAATGATAGTCTGATACTTTTGTTCACAGATGCAATCAGTTTCAATCTCTCTTCTTGTTAAATAGATGTGCTAAAAGGAAAACTACAGAAAAGAGGTGTTCATGTTTTGACGGGATTAGGAAAATATATCCAACAATTGGAAAATGAAGGAAATGGAATTTTAGATAAAGCAGATTATTTTTTAAAATTTTTTTTGGGGTCCGGTCGTGGGGCCTGAGCTCTGGGCCTGGGCACTGTCCCTCTGCTCTTCAGCTCAAGGCTAGTGCTCTACCACTTGAGCCACAGCGACACTTCCGGCTTTTTTCTTTTTGCTTATGTGGTGCTGGGAATCGAACCCAGGGTCTCAGGCATGCAAGGCAAGCGCTCTACCACTGAGCCACCTTCCCAGCCCCGATAAAGCAGATTTTAAGCAAGCCCTAAAAGTATTTCATTTAGAAGTATCTGAAAAGGTAGAAACCAGAAAAACTTTTAAAAAATTAATTAATTTTTTATTGTGAAAATACCGTACAGAGGGGTTACAATTACATGGGCAAGGTAATGAGTACATTTCTTTTCTTTCTTTTTTTTTTTTTGGGGTCCGGTCGTGGGGCCTGAACTCTGGGCCTAGGCACTGTCCCTCAGCTCTTCAGCTCAAGGCTAGCACTCTACCACTTGAGCCACAGCACCACTTCTGGCTTTTTTCTTATGTGGTACTGAGGAATCGAACCCAGGGCCTCGAGCATGCAAGGCAAATGCTCTACCACTGAGCCACCTTCCCAGCCCCATGAGTACATTTCTTATCAAGCATTGTTGCCTCCTCCTTTGTTTTCCCTTCCCATCCCTTCCCATCTCCCACCCCCCCACCCTTTTCACCCTCCCACCCCTCCACCCCCACCCCTGGCCATAGTTGTAAAGTTAGTTTTTCGACGTAACAACTTGTACATCTTATTGTTGCAATGGGTCCACCTGTATCCCTATTTAAACAATTGTTTTTCTCCCTTCCCCTCCACAAATTATACCAACATCTAATACAGTGAAAACAGGGGTTATACTGTGGGGGAGGGACATACAAAGCAACAAAGAAAGGATAACTCAAACAGTTATCCTTTGTCATATATTTGGCTTCATAACTAGGCACTGTACTAAGCTATAACAAGATGAGTTTTCTACTCCTGTGATCTTTATTACTGGAGAAAATGGTTCTAAGTTAATGTACATGTCAAGTAGAACATGTTTTTGGATGACTTAAGGTGGTCCCTAATTCCAAACCAAGTTATGGAGGAGTGGGAGAATTATGGGAAAATTCTTGGTGAGGATCACATCCAGGTTGAGTTTTTTAATATGGAACTTGAATTCAGGGTTGCAATCTTGATTAGCATTCTTGCTCATGGCTGGTGCTCTACCACATGAACCATGCCTCTTAGCCTATTTTTGGATGCTTAATTGGAGATGGAGTCTTGAGGACTTTTCTACTCAGGTGGTTCTGAACCTCTATCTTTTGGGTCTCAACCTTCTAAGCAGCTAGGATTATAGAAGTAAGCCACTGCACCCAAATTTGGATTATATTCTAAAAGAACATGAATCTGATTCATATCAAGGATTTTAGTTAACAGATTCTTTTGCCTGGTCCTCTTTTACTTCAAACATTTATTTTTCTTAAAAAGTATATTTCATTTTGTAGAAGGAACACTGGAAATTGTAGTTGAAAGATTTAGGTTCACAATGTAGGCGTACTTCTTTAACTGTGTGGTCTTGGACAAGTCTTAACTTTTCTGATTGACAGACTCTGCCTGAACATTTCAGAGCTAATTACTGTAGTCACAGTTGCCTGGAAGCTAAAATGAGAAAATTACAAGGGAGTATGCCTTATCGACTGTAAAATTCTGTGCTTACCACTGTTGTGACATACCTGCCTTTTAGATTTTTTATTATGTTTAAGCTTGTAGCCCACCTACTGATACACATGAAGGATCGTTCTCTTTCAAAGAGAAAACAGCATTAGGAAGTCTTTGGTTATTTGTGTGTGCACGTATGCACACATTGGTCCTGGGGCTTGAAATCAGGATCTGGACTCTGTCCGTAAGATTCTTTTTGCTCAAGGCTAGCACTCAACCACTTGAGCCATAACTCCTCTTCTGGCTTTTTTTTTTTAAATCATTTAGTAGAGATAAGAGTAAATAGACTTTCTTGCCTGTACTGACTTTAAAGCATGATCTTCAGATCTCAGCCTCCTAACTCCTAAGTAGCTAAGATTATAGTCATGAGACCTTTTTTTGTTTGTTTTTCTTTAGTTCTCCTTATTTTTCTTTATCACTGCAGAACTTCCTTTTTGGATTGATAGATGAAAGTTTTATTATTGGATTTATGAATAAATATATACTAATTATATGAGACTTTAACCTAGCGACAACTTATATGACTGTCTTTTCTTATATGCTTATTTCATTATTGATTTTATTTCACTGGTTTTGTGTGTGTGTGTGTGTGAGTGTGTGTGTGAGAGAGAGACAGAGAGACAGAGAGAGAGAGAGAAAGAGAGAGAGAACTTAGAGTCTGGGCACTATCTTTTTTTTTTTTTCATCTAGTACTGTTCCACTTAAGCAACAGTTCTATTTCCAACTTTTTGGTAGTTTATTGGAGATAAAAGTCTCACAGACTTTACTGGTTGAGCTGGCTTTGAAATGTGATCCTCAGATCTTAGCCTCCTGAGTAGCTAGGATTATAGAAGTGGAATGTAGCTTAACTAATCACCAATGGGGCCTTGCAAATTCTAGGTGAGGATTCCATCTCAGTTATATCTCTGGTTCTATATATTTTAAACAATATTACTGTTTTCTTTCCTGTTGTATCACTGGGAATTGTTCTCCCAAAAAACATACTCAAGGAGTAGGAGGAAAAGTCATGAGAATCACTAACCTTTATTTTAACTGTGGAAAATGGTCATGGGAGGACATATTCTCTTTTTTTTGAAATTAAAATATGATATGCACCCAAAAAGCCCGATTAAAATAAAAATATTATCATTGGGCTTTTCTCAGCTTTTAAAAACAGATATCTTTCATTATGTATTGTATCTAGGAAGAGTTAAACAGATTTGCTATTTAACTTGCCTTATTCTTTTTTAAAATTTTATTTTATTGTAAAGATGCTGTACAGAGGGGTTACAATTACATGAGTAAGGTAATGAGTACATTTCTTGTTGAACATTGTTACCCCCTCCTTTGTTTTTTCCTACTCTCCCCTTAACTTGCTTTATTCTTTTTTTTTTTTTTTTGGGTCCGGTCGTGGGGTCTGAACACGGGGCCTGGGCGCTGTCCCTCAGCTCTTCAACTCAAGGCTAGCGCTCTACCACTTGAGCCACAACACCACTTCCGGCTTTTTTCTTTTTGCTTATGTGGTGCTGAGGAATTGAACCCAGGGCCTCAGGCATGTGAGGCAAGCGCTCTACCACTGAGCCACCTTCCCAGCCCAACTTGCTTTATTCTTAAAACAATTTCCTTAAAAATTCATAAAGTATCTTGGAATTCTAGCATTGCTTGAGTTGGTGAGCAAACTACTTTCTGTCCATATTACTCATGAGTTTAAAGGCCAAGCTCATTTGGTTATTATTATTGTTGTTGTTATTATTATCATCATTGCTAATGCTGAGGTTTGAACTCAGGGCCTTGTATTCATTAGGCTTGCTTGTCTACCACTCTTCTATTTGAACCATGCCTCTAGCCTGGGTTTTTACTGGTTATGCTGGAGATAGAGTCTTACTGACTTTTCTGCCTGGGCTGTCTTAAAACCATGATCCTTTTAACCTCCTGAATAGCTAGTATTGCAAGTGTGAGCCACTAGCATCTGGCCCAAGCTCATTTTCAATTCAACTAAGGGCCTATGATGCGAAAAATGTATTGATGGTTGAGAATGAAGAGGAGACAGGGCATCCTGAGATTTAGTTTCTTCTGAAAGTTTTGAGAAAAATAAGAAGGAAGTCAAAGAGAATATTTTTGAGGTCTTCTTTGTCAAGCACCTTGGTGAGTGTTTTATTTGCATTCTCATTCCGAGCTCAGAATTTGATTGAAATGTTGAAATGATAGTTATTTGTGTTAAAGAAAATGCGTGTAATGCATATCCTATGAAACTAAGAAAGTTGAGGGGAGAGGATGGGGTGGGAAGGTTGGGGATAGAACGATGCATCTAGAATGTGTCATCCATCAAGATACATTGTACTTATAAACTGATTGGTTGAATGATTACTCCTTTGAACAACTACTTATAGATAATCTTTTAAAAGAAAGTTCATTCTATAATTTGATTGTCAAGAACACCATGAATAGAACTTTCTATTAAATAGCGTATTCACCAATGAAGTACATAGTAATGAGAGAGTGAAAAAAAAAACTGACATGAGGTATTTTACCCAAAATTATACCTTTCCATGTAGATCATGGAGTACTATTAGAGTCACTCAAATTGTGTATTCTTTCAAGCAAAAGACTAGCAGAAATACAATTATTCATCCCAATGCAATAGAAGGCATTTCAGAACCTAAACTGTTCTTTGAATTTTAACAGGTATAATGCATTTAAAATAATGAAGCCAGTCATTGGTGGCTCATGTCAGTAATCCTAGGCTATGTGGAGATGTTCAGAATGGAAGGATTGATGTTTCAAGTCAACCTGGGCAGAAAAGTCTGTGAGATTCTATCTCCACAGAGGGAAGATGGGTATAGTGGTGAACACTTGTCACCCAGCAATGATGGGAAGTTGAAAATAGAGAATGCCTGGGCAGGAAGTGAAACCCAGCTCAAAAGCCACCAGCAAAGGGCTGGGAATGTGGCTCAGTGGTAGAGTGCTTGCTTAGCATGCATGAAGCCCTGGGCTTGATTCCCTAGTATCACATAAACAGAAAAAGCTGGAAGCAGCGCTGTGCAAGTTTTGAGCAAAAGAAGCTCAGGGACAGGTCCTGAATTCAAGACCCAGGACTGTAAAAACAAACAAACAAACAAAAACACCCACACAAACCAGCAAAAAGCAGAGCTGGAGGCATGGCTTAGCTGTAGAGTGCTTGCCTTTTAAGCTCAAGGTTTTGAGTTCACACCTGCCTGTGTGTGCACATCCTCAATGAAATGCTGAAAAACAAGCACCAGATAACCATATTATTTTGTATAAAAAGGAAGTGAGTTTAGAATACACTTGTAACCAGAGGATGGCAGAGTTAGCAGGGTATGGAGAGAGAGCTAGGAAAATGTTGGTCCATGTTTCAATGAGACAGGAGGATGAATTCTAGTCGTCTGCTGTACAAGATAGTGAATATAGTCAATAATGTGTTGTATATTTGATAATAGCTAAAACAAAGGGTTTTAAATATTCTAAACAAGAAGAAGTGATAGTTATTTGATATGATAGCTCTGCCTGATTTGATCATTCTACAATGTATATATGCACTCCCTAAGACACTCCATAAAAATATATACAACTACTATTGGTCAGTAAAATGATGTCATTTTAACAGAGATCAGTTTGTAAGTTATTGACACTTCTAAATGACTCTTAGCTTTACATACCTTCCCATGTCAGAGTCCTTTAAAATGTTTCTTTTTTATTTTCTGAACGTCAGAAGGTTATGTAAGGCGGTTACGGTTTAACATGTCCGTCGTGGTGTCCAGTGCTTTTTGATTAGTCAGCCCTTCATCACTGTCCATCATCTCATCTGTTTGCCCTCCCTAAACTCAGAGTCCCTTTTAAGTAGGGTTCACAATGGTTTAATCAGATTTGAGATTTTTTTTTAAATTAAGTGAGCTGCCATGTCTAGGCCTACAGAAGATATAACAAAAGATGACTAGGATGATTTTGTTGTGACTGCCTAGAGCCTCGAGATGTAATACTGGACTCTGTGACTGTTTCCAGGATTTTGAATCTTTATGGCTAATTCTGAGTGACAATGGCCAGGGCCAGGTGGAATGTGGAGACTTCAAACGTGCCATTTTTGGTGAAATGAATGAATATAGAAAGTCCTTTGTTTGAAAGGTAAGTAACCATGTAAGTTATTTTTGCTCATAGATCATTAAATTCTTTACTTAAATCTTTAGTGAATTACTACTGAAAATGTGCTATAATAATGTATCTGTAATTTTGGGCTTTGTAAACACAAATACCACTAATTCATACAAATCTACCGAGAATAAAACAAGATAACAGGTATAAATTTTAGAAAAAAATGTAAGAGGAAAATACAATGGAAATCAAGTTTATTTCTGAGTTACTAAGCTCTATAAATTGCTACTTCTCTAAGTTACTAGCTGTATGACTGCATGTGTTATGAAGTACCTTGAGCCTCAGTTTCCAATTCCATGGCATTAATGTAGAGATTGAATGAGGTAACACATACATAGTTCTAGAATAGTGACTATGTCAGTGTCCTTGCTTAGCATATAGTATCAAAGTGATGATTTAAAATGTATCTCTTTTTAAACAAGTTTTTTATTGTGAAAATACTGTACAGAGGGGTTACAATTACATGAGCAAGGTAATGAGTACATTTCTTATCAAGCATTGTTGCCTCCTCCTTTGTTTACCCTCCCCACCTCCTCAACTATACCCCCCCACACCTAAATTGTAAAGTTTGGTTTTCAACATAGTGTCTTGTACATCTCATTGTTGCAATGGGTCCACCTGTATCCCTAGTTAAATGATTTGTTTTTTCCCTTCCCCTCCACAAATTATACCAACATCAAATACAATGAAAACAAGGGTTATACCGTGGGGGAGGGACATATAAAGCAACAAAAAAATCACATTGTACCTTATAAATACGTTAGAAACAATAGCAAGCAAGAAAAAAAACCCACTTGTGTCCCTATTTTGGGGTTCATTTCACTTAACATCATCTTATCTGACCTTTTCTGCTTGTCCCAGACATATAACTACTTATTACAAATAAGGGAAACCATGGGACCTATGTTTCTTTGGGCCTGGCTTACTTCATTTAATATAGTTTTTTCCAAGGCTTTCCATTTCTTAACAAATGGGGCAATGTCATTCTTTCTGATGGAGGCATAGAATTCCAGTGTGTGTGTGTGTGTGTGTGTGTGTGTGTGTGTGTGTGTGTGTGTGTATCACATTTTTTTCATCCATTCATCTACTGAGGGCATCTGGGTGTATCTCTTTTTTATACTATACATACTGAATCATAAAATAAAGATTACAGGGGTTGGGGGTTTAGCCCAGCAGAAGGGCGCCCGCCCGGCGCACGCAAGGCCCTGGGTTCGGTCCTCAGCCCTGGAAAAAGAAAAAAAAATGAAGATTACAAAGATCAGGCTAAATTGAAATTAAAATAGCAGTCCTGAATGTTGTAGGAAACTACATATTCAATTCTACTGGCCATTTTTAGAGTATAATTTTGTGCAGTGCAATGTTTTTACTTTTGTATATGCATCAGATACAGAACACATGTGCACACACATATAGGCATATAATATTGAAACACATCTATTCTGTATAGAGTGTTATACATATATCAGTTATAAATCTTAAATTGAAAAATTAAAATCTACCTTACTGAACAGCAGACATAATGAAAACCTCAAACAAAACCAATTCACGGTATAATATTTATTAATGTGCACTTATTTGTGCTTTAAATAGCACAGCAATAGGTTTGAATTTCAGAAGTAGAAGTGAGACAGTTGTCTTGGTTAAGTACCTTGGTCCTGGGACTGAAAAAGAGTTATAAGATACTCTACAAAATACTCTGCTACAGGCTGTCATAACAGCATGCCTACTTAAACAACAAACAATCATTTCTCATTGTTTGGTGTCTTGAAGTTCAAGAAGGGGACAGCAGTTTGGTTTTTCCTGCTGTTTTCTGTCTTTGTCTCCTTGACCTGCACATGGCTTTGGTCACTGTGTCTTCACTGTGTTGCCCCTGTTTGTGTTGTTTGTCCTGCTACTTTTCTGTAAGAACGCTAGTCATATTACACTAGGCTCTACCCTGCTGTTGCTTTAAATCGTTGTCTTCCTACACACCTATCTTCAAACACAGTTATACTCTGAGGTAACAAGTATAAGAGTTTGATACAGCAAGTTGGGTTTGAGGAAGGGCACATTCCCTCTAAAATATGTCAGATTGTGGTGAATTCAATATGGTGAAATAAAGAATTCTGATTCTGGGTTTGCCTCTCTTGCAAATGTGAGGTGTTACTTTGGATTGCTTGTGAGCTGCTCTGTACCCCATTGTCTTCCCAGTATAATCTTTTATGGTATGTTTTTGATATTGAATTAGAAGAGCAATAAAGCAGCTAGCATTTCTAAAGATCTGAAGCTTCAAGCAACAAGCAGCATCTTTCTTCATTGATTTTAGTGATGGCGTATTTGTAGACTCATTTTTTTAATTAAATCATCTGCCTGGCACTTTGTTTTGATCCTTTATCATTTTCATATGAATCTAGAACTGTAAGTTACCTGTGAGTAATATTTATCTATCTATTTATCTATCTATCTGTCTGTCTGTCTGTCTATCTATCTATCTATATCTATCATCTATTTATTTATAGCAGTAGTGGGGTTTGAACTCAGGGCCTGGTGCATGCTACCTACTTGAGAGTTCTTATACACGACTGCTCATTTCACAGTGTAGGAAAGCCTGAGAATCAGAGGCTAGGTGACATTCACAAGGTGAGAATACCAGAAAGTATAAAAGCTAAATGTTTGAGTGTGTGTTGTCTAGTCTCATGTGTGAGTATTTTTTTCTCCAGTACTTATGATGCTTCTTTCATATTGTAGTTTAGTTTTGTATGAGAAATTAGGATCTCATATCCAATGACAACACAGAAAACATAATGTTTTTCTCTTTATTAAGGCCTTTATAAAACTAGATTTTAACAAAACTGGCATTGTGTCTGTGATAGACATAGGAAGTGTTACTGTGCCAAAGAAGCATCCTCAAGTCATTTCAGGTAATTAAAATGAGTCAAAATGAAGTCACTATTTGAACCATTCCCTAGCCTCCCTCTTTTGCTGTACCTCCTTATTTAGTTAGTTCATTACTTTTGTCTTGAGTTCTTGCTTGAGGCTGGCTTCCAACCTTGATCTTCCTATCTTCACCTGCTGGGTGGCTGGGAGTATAGCTATACCACAGTGCAGAATTGTTTTTTGATAGAAAGGGAATCTGACTTTTACCCCAGGCCAGCCTTGAATTGCAATCCTCTTTATCTCTGCCTCTAGACTAGCTAAAATTACAGGTATGAGTCACTACAGCCAGCCAAACTAAATATTCTTAAAAATGGAAAACCTGTATTGCTTTAAAAAGAGATAATTTAGAAATTATCATCTATTTGCATGGCCATCTCTTGGATAAAAGTTCTGTAGAAGTTGTAATTAACTTCAAAAAAAGACTTATGAAGTATACAATTTAATTTTAACTGTAGAAAATAGTTTACTAAGTAACTTATTAGAAAAAATGTATTTTGAAGTTCAATGGAAATGGAATATACCAAATGTCTTTCTATATAATGGTATTGGAAATTTGATATTTATTGTAAATATTTCTCTTGAGTAAGAGAGGTAAAAGAAACCTCTTGATAAAACATTCACTCTGTGCTCTTTTCCTTGTGTGAGATGTTTTAAAAGGTAGCAACTGTTTTTGATATTCAAAATAGAGTTCAGCCTGTAGGCAGAGAGGAACCTGATAATGTTCTAAGCCAACCAGAGGACACTTGGTTTGGGAGGAAGCTGTGGATGTTACTCTAATGCTGTCCACCTTGTCAGGCAAGTGACAAATGGTATTTCTGTTTAAGTCTGCTTCTCAACATGCAGCTGCACTGTAAAGTGTTTTAGAGGGTCATGTGGATGTTTTAGTCTCCAAGTTTTGTTCATTCTCTTTTGAATATACTCTGGCTACATCCTGTGGCTTCTTTTCCTCCAATCAAAAGTGTCATGAATTTTTTTCTTCTATGTTCTATGACTTGGAATAGGTCAAAGTAAGAGGAAGGCAGGGGGGATGGGGTAGCAAATTATGAGGGGAATTCTAGTTCCTGTTTAAGTACATTAGAGGGCAGTCTGACATGATAGTATACATGGCTGAAAGGATTTTATCAGATAAATAAGAATCCCTTTATTATTATCAGTCATTCTCTGAACTTTTACAGAACTAGCTCATGGGCAAAACTGTTTTTACAGGCCAGTCCACAGAGGAAGAAATCAAATCAGCTTTTCTCGAAATATTGATAGATGCCTGCAGCAAATCTGAGGAAGTGTCCTACAGTGAATTTGAAGATTACTGTGAAAGTCTAAGCATTGGGGTGGCAGAAGATGAAGACTTTGTTACCATTGCATGCACTCCATGGGGAATTTAGCTTTTAACAATGCATATCTCATCATGAGTAAACATTGAAGAAGAGATGAAGCTCATGAGAAGTGCGATCAAACCCTGGAATATATGATTCTATGATTTCCCTTATCCTTTTTTGTTTTCCCTCCAAAAGACTTGAATCTGAAAGAGAAATAGAGAGGTGATGCCAGGGCGTAGTGGGCATATATGTGTGCTCACCTCTCTACCAGTGTCTGAAGATATGTCTTTTCACTTTATTACTTACCTTGAATGTATTGTAGAAGTCATTAAACAGAAGTTAAATCTATCAAATTGTAGGACAAACAAGTTATGGTAAGCAGTCTAAAGCCCTTCCATGTTCTAACTCCACAGTGTACTTCCCACCATTCTCAATTTGATGATTTGAAATTAGACTCTAGATCTCTGATGCAGAAGCAGCTCAGCTTGTTTAAACATAGGAAAATGTCAACGGAATTAAAATAAAATCAAGACAAATTATCATTCATATTTACAATGGTTGAATTTTACTTCTGCATTGCTCATTTAAACAAACTTGTCTTTTGAATTATATTCTACTGTTTGTTTAGTAGAGCACAATGTAATTACGTGCTTATTCTATCTTACTTACAATAGTTATTTACTGCATAGAAATGTTATTAGCTATGAATAACAAAATATAGGAAGGGAAATGTTCTCTGAGAGTTTTAAATAAATATATCAAAAAGTACATTATATAATATATAAGGTAATATATACTATATAATATTTCATTTATACACAATAATTTAATATATACATATATACAATTTAGTGAGTCAACCCAAAATGTAAAAACATTTTGTAGTTAAATGAATGTGGATTATTATAAACTTCTCTATTTTTGTATACTAAACAATCAAATCATTTTCTTCTCTTTTTTTGTTGGTCATAAGGCTTGAACTTGAAGCCTGGGCACTGCTTCTGAGCTCTTTTCTCAAGGTTAGCTTTCTATCACTTTGAGCCACAGCTCCACTTTCTGTTTTTGAGTGCTTAATTGGTAATAAGAGTCTCACAGGGACTTTTCTGCCTGAGCTGCTTTGAACTGTGATCCTCAGCTCTCAGCCTACTGAGTACCTAGGATTACAGGTGTGAACCACCAGCATCCAGCATTTTCATATATATATATATATATATATATGCACATACATATATATATATACATACATACATACATATATATACATACATATATATATACATACATACATATATATTAATAAATGGCTATATGTACTATAATCATTCTTCTGAATTTCATGCACTATAATCATTTTTCTGAATTTCATGTTCTTCACTTCTTGGAAAGAGAGAAGAGAGAACATCCTAGAATTGTTTCTTGGTTGATAATTTTAATTTAATGCTAGAATCACATAAAATTTTAAATAACATGTTTAAAAATAAACATATACTTTTTTTTTGTCGGTCATGGGGCTTGAACTCTGGGCCTGGGCTCTGTCTCTACGCTCTTCAGTTCAAGGTGAGCGCTCTATCACTTGAGCCACAGCACCACTTCTGGTTTCTAGTAGTTTACTGGAGATAAGACTCTCATGAACTTTCCTGCCCAGGCTGGCTTTGAACCATGATCCTCAGATCTCAGCCTCCTGAATAGCTAGGATTACAGGCATGAGCCACGGGCATCTGGCTAAACTTACATACTTTACAGAATCTGTCTTACCATATTATTTCATGTGTCTGTACTAGGCCACATTATCAGAAGAAGAAAGTATATGAACTCAGTAAATTAATCTTTCTAAGGTTACAATAAGTACTAAAACTGAAAATAGGTATCTAACATTTTGCACCTATACATACTATAAACCTGTTAAATTGTTCTTGTGTTTAAATGGTTAATGCTAAAAATTTAATATAATATTTTGTGATAAAATTGTTTAGATTTCATTAACAATCCTATTAATATTGGCATGTCACATTATTTTGTAAATATAATGAGAAAATATATTTTGTAAATAAATGGAGTGAAGAAATACCTCTGGATTTAATATGTTAATGTGACAATGTTATATCTTCAGATAACCTTCACCTTATTGATATAAATATTCACATGTGCTATTTGTACTGTTTCTGTTTTGAAGATATATATGTATATATTTATATTTAATTCTTGCCTTATAAAGGAGGAGATACAGGTTTTAAGTATTCTGTTAAATTAGAATTGGTGACACGATGTATCTTGCTTTTGTTTTTGCCTTACTGCCAACATTCTTCTTTGATTTTGGTGTCGTGCGTCTTTTTGTGCTCAATTTAGTAGAAGAGCATGTAAGTGAAGTGACATTTTCAATTCACAACATAATGATTGATTTCCTACTTTAAAATAGTATTCTAGGACCTGAAATACCTTTAAAATACTAAATTATATGTTGTAAGTTTGCTACCTGAGTTTGCTTGCTGAAGGTATTTCATGAGCGTATTAATAAGTTCCTGGTTTGATGTGATATTCCCACTAAGTCAAGCATGCTGTTTACTGATTTGCATGTATTGATTTTCTTGTTTCTGGGGCAGGCCATGCCCCCAGTTTTTGGATTGACTCTTTTATATTTAATTTTAGTTTTGATGGTGTTGGGGTATAAACTTAGCAGGTAAACACTGTACCATACCCCACACCTTTTTTGGCTTCAGTTATTGTTCAAGTAGGCTCTTGCTTTTAACTAAAGCTGGTTTAGGAGTGAGATCCATTTCGGCTTCCTGGGAGTCTAATAGTTGGAATTACAAGTATGAACCGTCATGTCCAGCACCAGAGTGACCTTTTGAAAATGCGTTATTACCCCCTCGAATAAAATTCTTCTCTGATATCATCCAGAAAAGTTCAAACTCTTACCTGATAGAATTTAAATGATTTCAGTTTCCCTAAGCTCATCTCCCTGTCTTCAGCTCAATCCTTACGTTACTCTTAAGTATTCTGAACTATATAATAGTCTTGTAAATGGAGTCGAGTCTTCAAATCTCAGTACCTCCATGCATGCAATTGCTCCTATCATGTGGAATGATCATTTCCAGGTTTACGTTTAAATTCGCTTATAATAGTCTTCAATATTACTTCAAGAAGAGATCCTTCTGAGCTGTTAATACTGATGTTATTGTCCTTTGAGATTCCCAAGGCATGCTGAGCATGCTCATGGTATGGCATTTGTCACTTTACACCATGCTGCTTATGTGTCTCCCTGGATTGTGAGCCTTCTTAGGATACTAACCGTACCTTACTTTGGTGATCCTGGTGTCTAGTACTGGCTCTGTCATGGGATAAGAATTAAATCAGCCTGGTGCCAGTGGCTCACACTTGTTATCCCAGCTACTCAGGAGGCTGAGATCTGAGAATCGCAGTTCAAAGCCAGCCTGGGCAGAAAAGTCATCATGAGACCCTTATCTCCAATTAACCACTCACAAACTGGAAATGGTACTATGGCTTAAGTGGTAGAATGCTAGCCTTAAGCACAAAGAGGCTCAGGGACAGTGCCCAGTCCCTGAGTTCAAGCCCAACAATCGACAAAAAAAAGAATTAAATTAATATTTGTAGGGATTTACTGATTATTTATTTATGGTTCTTGCATTGCAACACTTGTGTAGTTGAAACACTTAGCCTAAACCATGGAAACATTTTAAATGTGTTATTTTGTGAATACTTCCATGAGAGAGGCAATAAGCTACCTTAATAAAGAATACTAAGGTTTTTCTTAGGAGGACAAAGTTTCCATACATAAAATAGTGAGCCTAATATATTATAATGCATTGTGTTTTTCAAAATTGCTGAAAGAGTAGATTTCAAATGTGTTTTTACCACAAAAGAGTAAGTATGTCACATGGGATTTTGTTAATTGTCCTGATTTGATCATTCCACATTGCAAACATGAATCAAAATATCACAGCACAACCTGTATACACCTTGAATACAGTTATTCCTAGTTAGCTAAAGATAAAATATAATAATAATAATAATCATCACACAGATTGTGTGATCTAGTTGGTACTTTTCCAGGAAGGCCTCATTTCTCAGGGGCTACTCTTCAATTACTTAGACCAGGCAATATGTCATGTCTAGTTAACTGGATTTGCAAGCAAAATAAATTTATTCATGAGTACCGTGTTTTGTTAGATCTCCAGATTGTCCTGAAGAACTTCTTACAATAAGGCCTGCAGCTCTGGTCCTGGGAAGTAAGGCTGCCTCCAGCCTTCCATGCACAGGGCGGAGCTGTACAGGGGTCTACACAATTCTAAGCCACTTTACTAAGGCCAAACAATTCAAAGAAACAAAACTATGTTGATAGGATTGCGTCTGAAATGTATGTGAGGGGAAAGTATCAAATTCTCACCTGCATCAAAGATTTTGGTGGGAGGGGAGAGCTCATGGTTAATTGCTAAGGGGAAGAAGAACCTGTTGCTTTTACTTGACCAGAGGTGCTTCTGTCAGTTCCTGACCAGAATCCTCTGTCACACACTGTAATGGGCCTCAAAGACCTCCCTGCCCCCTGGCAAGGATCAATTCTGAAAGCAGTAGATGTTAAAGATTCAATTATGGGAGGTTCCGGGAAGATGGCGGAGGAGAAGCTGGAATCTGAATAAGCTGTCGCATAGAAAGCAGTTTTAGAGTTCCAGTGAACAGTCCTAAGCCAGAGAATCACACCAAGTGTGCCATCACAGGACAGAGAGTTAGACAAGAGAGGGAAGCCAAGGCAAAAAGACACACCTGAGCGCTCGCCAGCAGCCGCCGCGGCGGCGGTGGCAGGGTCGCAAGCGGCAGAGACCACAGCCGGGGCCATAACTGAGCGCTCACACAGAGAGTCCAGGACGAAGGAGCCAGACACAGCGGGCGAGCGGATTCTACTCAACACCAGCAAGAACCAACAAGGAGCGGACATCTTCATCCTGCAGCTTGCAGACCAGAGACGACCCAGGATCCAAGACTCGGCGTGAGTTGAAGCTCGACGTCCTCACTCCTTCTCAGGGAGCAGAGGAGGGAAGGCCACCCCTCCC